TCCCTCGCACCACCCCTGAAACTGGACCCCTTCCTGCCTCTCCTCTCCCTAGAACAATCAAGGGCTTCAGCTTTGTGTCCTTCTCGGACAGCTCTCCTGTTTCAGAGAGGTCACCTAATTCCCCTTTCCTCCACCTCTGCAGACCTGTGACCGAGGAGAAAGAAGCCCACTAAGAGTGAGCAGAGTCCCTGGGCACAGGGGGACCGACAAGGAAAGCCCTGGGCCGGAAGGGGCTGGCTGTGTTTCACTGGCCCTTGCATGCTGCTCCATTCCTGGGCTCGGTAGCAAACCTCATAGCCAGCTCCCTCACAGGGCTTGGACCCTCCCCGCTGATACGAAGGGAACCCACAGGAGGACATCTAGGCAGGCACAGGGTCCTAGCAGCTGGCGGCTGAGGCGAGCCACTCTCTGAGCCTCATCTACCCGATACGTAATAAAGGAAGATGCGTTACTGCGTTACTGCCTTACACGATTGCTGAGGACCAGCTTGTCACTGGTGCAGAGTAAAAATGGCAACAGAAAACAAGTCTATTACTCCCTTGTTTGCATCCCAGCCGGCCTCTTTCTAAGAGATTATTTTACCCCCTGTACCCCTCTTGTCCTTCAGAAGCCAGCTGTACTATGGATATGTACATCCAGGGGATGGTTGCCCAGGGCAGGGCTTTCAGAAACGATGCCTGTTGCCTAGAAAACTGCCCCACTCCAGTTCCCCGAGGTCCCCGCGGTTGATGGATCCAGATGCCATCTGCTGGATACAGTGCACACTGCTTCTGAAACACCCGGACAGGGAGGCCCACAGCCTGGGAGCAGGGAACACCCCTCTGGCCACCTCCCCCTCTCCCACCCATCTTACAGAAAAGCGCTTTGCTTCTTTGGGCCCCACATCTCCTCAGAGACCAGAGATGTTAAAAAAAATAAAAGACCGGACATCGCGAATGACAACGAGGAGAGCAGGAGTCATGTCCTTCTCCATCTAGAGAGGAAGACAGGGGACAAGGGTTCGCAGGAAGTCCCTCCCTTTAATTGATTTCCTGACGCTCGGAATCCGCAGTGCAGACGTGCCTTTTGCTGTCCACTGGCCCGTGTTCCACAGGGAGGTTGCAAGTGTACAGCTGGGTTGGGAGAGTGACAAGTGGGGTCCCTCATCAACCCCTCCCGCTCCCCTTCCAGCTGAGCCGCTCGGGCCCCTGGTGCCTAGCCTCACACTCCTCCTCCTCTGTGGGAGGAGCTTCCTTACTCACCATCACAGTTACCTCAGATCAGCCTTCCTCCCACAGAAGAGAAGCAGACGGACGCCTCCTGTGGAAACCAGGGCTCCTCACTTGATTCTGCCTGAGGCAGCCCTTGCCCTCAGCCACTCTGAGGCCATCCTGAGGTGCAGAAGGAAGTACAATATCCAAAGTGTGGGTTCAAGAGAGCAGCTGGACAGGCACATGCCTGTAACCCCAGCACTTGGGAGTCTGAGGCAGGAGGAGCACAAGTTCCGGGCTACCCTGGGCTATACAGTGAGATTGCGGCCAGCCTGGGCTACATAGTGAGATCCTGTCCTCCAACACAGAGCAGGACAGGGGAAGCTGCTGGGCTCCCTTCCTTGTTAGGTCATCAGTCTCTAAACTGAGGTACAGGGTGCGGGGAGACTGATTCACCCGACCCAGGCTAACACTGCATCTTGCTATCCTGCCTGCCCTCTTCCTTGAGCCAGAAATGCCAGATCTCATCCCAGAAGCTGATGTTGCCAATGGGCTTAATGAGCAGGAGTATGGGGACCAAGGTCTCCTGGGTCCTGACTCACCCGTCTTCCCTCCTGAGCTGAGCCACAAGGTAACTGAGGGGGAAGGTGACTTCCACACCCTGCAAGTGAGCCCAGCCCTGGTACACCAGATGTGCAGCTGGGTGCTTGTACCCTGCCACTACCCTCTGACCAGATTCCCTACCTCCAAGTTCAGGCTGGAACAAAAGGGCTGCTGCAGGTGTGGGGAAGTAGGTAGAACTGGTCCCTCAAACCTCTAGTAAGGTGGTCTGTGTGTAAGGCAGGGCTGGAATTCTGGCTCTTGCAAGTCAAAGGGAATCCAAACCTGGGCGTGGTGGCACATGCCTGTAATCCTGGCACTTGAGAGGCTGAGGCAGGAGGATCACTGCAAGTTCAAGGCCAGCCTGGGCTACACAGTGAGTCCAAGGCCAGCCTAAACTGCACAGCTAGACCCTGTCTGAAACAAAACAAACAAAAAAGTCAAAGGGGATCCTGGAAGGATAAGAAGCTCGGTTAAGGGCAGGAAGAGGACCTGCCTCCCCCGCAGCTCCCCTCTGGGCAGGGGGTGTCCTTCATGTGCCCCAACCTGAGTCCAGATGGAAGGAGAGATTGGGGCAACCAAGCATCCACAGCCAAAGTACTGACCCTTCCTACCCTTGGGGATGGCTGTCCACTCCCCAATTGGCCCTGGAGCCACTAAAGTTGAGAGGGGCCTCGGAAGGCCAGTCCGGGCCCGTCAGAATTCCTGGGCCATGCCCACCAAGAGCCCCGTTCTCAGCCTTCTGAGTAGAAGCCATAGGTGAGGGCCGCCCACCGCTCCTCCTCCATCTGTCCCCATGAATCCAGAGATGGCCCCAGTGCTGCAACGGTGACATGACTCTCCCACTCCATCCACTCCCCGCCAGGCCCCTGGCCCCACCTGCTTCTGTCCTTGCAGTTCTTCCTGATCCGCCACTGCCTGTGCCCCTTCCAGGACTGCTCTGGGCTGCTCAGGTGCTGTGGGGGCCTGGGGCACTGGCTGGCCCCTGCTGGGGATGCACACCCTCTTCCTGAGTGACTCTACCATTGCTCTGGTGTGCTGGTGCCTTGAGCTGGGCCCTGGGCTGCCAAGGCAGCATGGCTTGGCATTGATCTTTGACAGCCTGGTAGTGGATACCCTGGACCACATGGCACTGGGTGTGCAAGGGAGAGGGTAAGGTGCACCTGGGCCGCATGAGCCAGGCTGCACTCTAGATGGGCGTGAATTTATGCTGACCAAGTTTGTCCCAAATGTGGCTCTCAGCTGCATCTACATATCCGTTTCACACAGCCTTCCTGCCAAGGGCATCTGTCCATTTGTCCTACCTGGGTTGTGCCCACTGTAGCAGAATTTGCAGCCTAGAGTGCAAACGCTGTCTAGGTTATCCCCAGCTGCTACTTCTCTGGACAAGAGGGTAAACAGACTCATTTACTGAGCACCTATAACCTTGTCTGGTTCACTAACATAATCCTAAAGTATTGAGGCCATGAGGTAGGTGCTGGGGCATCAGAGATGTTTTCTGTAACATGTGCTTTGGAACGAGTCTCAGAAATCAGGTAATTGGGCGCTGGATTTTTCCTATAACAGCAGTTCTCCAACTTTGGTGTATATGAGAACTGGGGGCTGGGTACCCAGCCAGACACTCAGCCTCAAGCCCGCTCACTCCAGTGAGCCTGGGCCTCTGGAGTCTTTACTAGCTCTCCAAGGTATTCTGATGTACACAAAAACCTGAGCAGCACTGTTCTAGAACTTCCTCCAGTAGGGCAATACGAATGCTTACATACCTCAAGTGATGGGGTAACCCACCCACTCCTCAGTTCTGTTCATAGACTGGCTCTAGTGCAAAGGAAAACACTCCCTTGATCCACTCCCCTCCTTAATTCAGAGCAGCCTAGCCTTTACCTAAAAACCCAAGACCTTTCCCATCTCAACTACGGGTCACACTACTTCCTATAATGGTTTTTGTAAACCAGGGTGCAAGACTGGACATGAAACACAGCCTCAGTTTGCTCTTCTCCCCTGGATCAGGGATCCTCCTCCCTGCCATCTGCATCATCTCTGACCTTGGGTGGGGCACAGAGACCACAGACTCCAGAGCACAAGGCCACCAGGGGCTCCCAGTGATCCATTCTTTTTGTGACAACTCCTGGTACAGATGGGAAGCCAACTCTGGAACTATACATCTTGCTACTTAACTTTACCCTTTTCATCCCTGAAGATGCCACAAAGCTGGATGCAGCAAAAACTGAGCCTAGACATGCTATCCACAGATATCAGGTTCCCTGGCCAAAAGGCTGTCAATGGGGGCCTGAGGGGGGACAGTGTGCCAACAGGGTGCTACAGAGCCCTACCTCGGTAGTCATGGGAGCATTCCAGATCCTCGTTACCTATACACAAGGATCTTCCTCTCCCTCTGCTTGTCCCTGCCACCAGGGCAGCTCCAAATCATCTTCCTGGTTCTGTCTGAGTGTTGTCTGTCCCTTGCCTCGATGGGACACCTTTGCATCCACTGCTCAGCCACAGCACTAGAGGCAACGTGAGTGTCCCAAGATCTCCCAATTCTAGGGGCTATGCAGCAGCCTGTGGGGCAGCCTGTCTGCTGAGCAGAGGGCAGAGGTGGAGGGCAGGACCTGTGCCACATACGAACAGTGAGCGCTCACCTACTCTACCTGGTACTTACGGGCATGTCTCAGGTGATGACACTACAAGCCCTGGACCAAATGGTCAGGTCCACACTGCCGTCTCCCTGTGCCTGGGCTGTGTCATTTGGCGTTACCAAGATGCAGTGGTGCTGAGCCGGGCGTGGTGGCGCATGCCTGTAATCCCAGCACTAGGAAGGCTGAGGCAGGAGGATCGCTGTGAGTTCGAGACCAGCCTGGGCTACATAGTGAGTTCCAGGTCGGTCTCAACTACATAGTGAGACCCTGTCTCAAAAAACCAAAAAAAAAGAATAAAGATTCAGTGGTGCTTTCCAGCAGTCACCCATGATGCCCCCCACTCCTGGTCTTCTACAACCACAATGACCTCTCTGTGTCACCGCCAGGCTACGGGACCTGCTGGCCAGCTGGCACAGCTGTGGGAGACCTCCTGCCACATGCCCACCTGCATCCATACTGTCCTCGGGCACTGTGATGCCCTCCTCATCATCCTCACTCCGATGGGGCTCTAGTTCACCACCAAGAGAGGCACCAGCCACCGTGAGCAAAGGACACAGACAGGAAAGTAGAGGCGTTGAGACCCGCTTGATTTATTCAGACCATTGAATGTACAATGACACATCTGTGACCCCAAAGTGTGCAAAGTTAAAGCCTTCAACTGCAGCTGAGAGGAGAGGGCGGACTGGTACACCTGGGGACAGTGGTGAGGCAGGAATGAGAGGCGGGCAGCCACTTCCTCAGGCCAGGGGAAGGGGGCAGAGACCTCCCCTACGGCCTAGGTCTGGAGCCCGAGTGCCACATGGCTAAGAGGGCAGCAGCCCAGGAAGGGGCCAGAGGCAAGGCCAGGAGAGCACCATTTCCTAGGGGAGGGTGGCAGGGAGGGAGGTGCCCTATAGGAGAAGCCAAGAGGGACCACCTGCCCCAGGGGAGGGAGCCGGGCAGAGCAGGCTGCAGCAAGAGAGAGACCTGAGGCAGGCACAGGGCCTGTGAGCCCGGGCTGGCTGGGCTCAGGGGGCTGAAGAAGGGAGAACCCGGGAGGCTGCCCAGGGCAGTTCTAACTTGTGAGGGGTCCCCAGGGAGGGGCTGCAGTCCCCTCAGGGCCTCCCCTCCTCTCTCCCTGCAAAGGAGCCGGGGAACCCGTAGTGCAAATCCATGGACCACTCAGTCATGGAGGGAGGCTGTGCCCAAAGTGGGGTTCTGGGGTGTGCCCCCTCCACCACCACGGCCTCCACCGCCATCCTCAGTACAGCCGCTTCTCGAAACTGTGGAGACAAGAGGTGCCCAAGAGTAGGTACGTGGACCCTGTCCCCTTCCTGAAATCCCCTTCCCCGGGGATCCCCAGATTTGGGGGTGGGAGAAAGCAGAAGGTGGGCCTGGGCCTCTGGCCTCCAGTCCAGGGCTCCCTGAAGAACCAGGCCAAGTCATCGACAGCCATGCCCCTAGCCACTTTCACACCTAAGTGAACTGTCCTTGGTGCTGGGGTGGAGAGATGGCTCAGGAAGGCCTGGCCATCCTCACAGAGGAGGCCTGACCAGACCTGAACCTCTGCTGCCTTGTCTCCACCCCAACCCCACACACATGGTGGCCCAGCCCCCTTGTGGTACTGGAACCTCTCATCATCCCAAAACAGGATTTGTGTTGGCCGGATGAGGGGCCGTAGCTGGCCTCCTCCACCATGGTGCTGAGGACAGGGGCCAGGAGGGCCCAATCCCAGGGTCCACGTCCCACCAATCCAATATCCATCCTCCCAGTCCAGGCCCGCCCCAGACTGCCCCTGCTCTACTCTAGGCTTGGCCCGGGCAGCGCAGTTACTTACACGGCACAAAGGTATAGCTATGGGAAGGTGAGGCAGAAAGAGACACATGTTAGATGCCCGTCTATGCCTGGGGAGATGGGTCCTCTCGACCAGGGTGGGCCACATGCCTGCAACTACTGCTGCCAACTAGCTCTGCCCCCACCCACAGTCGCCCCAGCGCCAGCCCCGGCATCTGTCTCTCTGCCTTTCTCCCCACCAGAGGCCTCATACCTCATCTTCTACCTGCCTGCCTGGGGCTGCCACCAGCAAGAGCCCAGCATCACCAGCCACCGCCACCTGCCACCAGCCACCAAGCTTCCTGAGCAAGCAAGGGCTGGGGGGCCCTGGTGGGACTAGCGGCCACGCCTCTCACGCCCTGCTCAGAGAGATGCCTGAGGGGAGTAGCCTGGCTGCCCGGGGCTACTGGACAGGGCTCCAGGGTGGCTGGGCCCTATAGGACAGGGCGGTGGGTCCATCCTGCAGCAGCATCAACTCTGGTGCAGACGGTCCCCGGGCCCCTGGAACGTCGCTCAGCCTCCGAACCCTGGCCCCACCTGCCCATCCCTGCGCCAGCCAGCCAGGGTGAGCAGGCTGCCCCACTTACGAGTGCAGGCTGTGCACACCACCCTCGATCTGGGCCGACATGGTCCTCTTCTCGAACTTCAGCTCTCCTGAGTACATCATGGACCTGGCAGGCAGACAGGTGAGAGGGTCAGCGCACCAAGGTGGAGAAGGGACACAGAAAAGCAGGACAGTGGGGAGGCTTCCAAGGGCCTCCACCCGCCGCCTGCTCCAGTCTCAGCACTCACCGAAGGACAGACAGGCTCCGGGCCCCGATGTCCTGGCAGCCATGTTGGATCCCGGCTATGAGGTAGGGCACGAACTTCTGAATCGAGCCTTTGTCCTGGATGGAGCCTGAGACACCCTGCGCGATCTTCACCTTGTCCCCCTCACTGTGGAAAAGGGTGGAGGGGCCAAGCCCGCTAGCTTTTGGCTCAGAGGTCCCCTCCCCACCTCTCAGGGCACAGGCAGAGAGGATGCCACCCACAAGAGTCCCTGTAGCAGCTACTCGCTGAGCTGTAGCAGAGACAAGCACAGCCCCTGAGGCAGGTGGCCCAGGTCTTGGTACTTCGTCTGCTACTGTGCCTGTGCCTCAGCTCCCAGACTCTAATATGAGACTGAGCATCATCAAGGGAAATGGGGGCTATGAATGGGCCCAAGGGCTACAGGTGGCTCTGTAGGGGCTGGGTCCAGGGCACACACCTGAAGTATCGTTTCTGGCTGCTGCTGCATTTCTCCATGGCATCCAACGAGCCCATGCCACGGTACTTCTTGAGCCTCACCCCATCCGAGAAGAAGTACTCACCAGGGGCCTCTGTGGTGGCCGCCAGCAGGGAGCCCATCATCACTGTGGGGGTCAAAGGGTCAGTGCCTCCCACCCACAGCAATCCTACTGCCTCCCCCAGCTCCCAGCCCTACACGCCCATCCCCAGGACACCCTCACCTGTGGAGGCTCCAAGGGCCAGTGCTTTGACCACGTGCCCGACGGTCTGGATGCCACCATCGGCTATGACCGGTACACCGAAGCGCCGGGCATACTCAGCCACCCTGTACACAGCAGTGCCCTGGGGCCGGCCACAGGCCATCACTGGAGAGGGTGGGGTGCACAGAACAGAAACGACTCAGCAGCAGTGCAGGGCAGGCTCAGGGGGAGTCAGCCTTGTCCCTCTGGCCACCTGCACTCTGGGAGGGGGATACTGGTGTTTCTGAGGCATAAGACAGGTGCCAGCAAGACCAGGGTGTATGTCACTCCAGAGACTCAGGCCACCCACCCCTAACAGCACCACAGGGGATTCAGTGGGGGGATCAGGGCCGACTCCCCCAGAATACAGCACTCCCAAACTGGTGCTCCCTAGCATCACCTACTCTGGACAGACAAGCTCCTCTGGGAAGTTCTCATCTGGAAAAGCTATAACTAGGGACTCATGGCCTCCTGGGGTTGGGAGCTTGCACTCATTTCTTTATTTGTCCAAGGTCCTTTAGGTTTAAGGTGGAAATCCTAAGTAACAACAATTTGCTATGGACAGGTACAAGGCAGGCCATTAGCTTTGTCCCTACTTCTACCCCAAAGCTTAGCACAGTGCCTAGCACACAGCATGGGCTCAATTAATATCTACTAGATGAGAGAGGAACATGTATCACCATGGTGGTCAGCTAAGGTGAGGGTAGAATCTCAAAAGGCAGATGCCCTGAAGACGAATAGGGGGAGATATTCTGGACAACGGTGGCAAAACCAAGCAGTGTTCCAGCGAAATTTTCTTCACAAAAGGAACCAGATCCATTCCCACTGACCAAGTGTGCTCTAGACAGCCACCCTACAAGTCTTCAGGAAGAACACTCAACCACATGGGGGACACGCAGCAGGGTGTCCCCTCACCCTCCACACTGCAAAAAGAGCTTTGTGACTGAGTGCAACTCCCCCTGCTACTCTAACCAATGATAATATGAGTTCATAAGATCCCTATCTATTCGGGGACACAGTGTCTTTGGGTCTTAAGCATCTGCCCTGGTTACAAATCCAAAGAAAACCCTCAAGTGGCTTCCGACAGACACCATGAAAAAGTAGTCATACTAGCCTCGGGCTCTAGAATGGACTTCCTTGACTAGAAGACCTAGAAGATCGAGCAGGCAAATTCAGTGCCCTCATCTGCTTATCCCTGATTCCCACCAAGTCCATGAGCCTGCGTCACCCTGAGCCTAAATCCCAGGAAGGGCCTGGTGGGGCCAACACTAACTACACGTGGAACAAGAACAAGGCCCCAGGGCCTGTGGTGGGCCAGGGGCTGTTTCAAACAGCAGTCACCCCTCCTCCTGGACACCCACCTTCTTGGGTGATGCAGATGGAGCCACAGCCCATGCCCACACGCAGCCCGTCTACACCGGCGTCAATGAGGTTCTTGGCCTGGGCTGCTGTCACTACTGGAAGTTGGGAGAGGCAAACAGAGGAACAATATGAGGATGGGGTGTCCCTGCCCTGCCCAGCTGCTTTCTGGAACCTCCGCATAGCACCCCACACATACCCACAGTAACCAAAGCCCTCCTGTCCCTACCACCTGTGCAGTAGCAACGCCATCCCTTACGGTGCTGAGGGACAGAGACGGGTTACACAGCGAGGGGGCAGGAGCAGCAGGATGGGGGCAGCCTGCACTCACCATTCCCCCCAATCACCTGGAGGTGGGGATACTTCTGCTTGATATAGTGCACCATGGCGATCTGATACACTGAGTTCCCCTGGGAAGAGTCCTGTAAACAGGGGGACAGATGCTTAGGCTGGACAGCTGTGCCTCCGCCCTGGGCAGGGAACCTGAATGGGTCTATCCTCAGATTATAGGAAAGCTGTCACAGGAACGCGTTTCTTTTTTTCCCTAGGAAGTCACTTGACAACTCAGCTGAGGGCCAAAACAGACCTGCTTCCCCAGAAGGCCAAACAAACAGGTACATTCTCAGAACAGATGGAGCCCCTTCCTATGCCTGGAGAGAGAAAATAGCCTCAGATCTGCTACAGTTTGGGTCCCTTCTCCTCCCTTTCTTTTGCGGTGTCAGGAACTGAATGCAAGGCCTATCACATGCTGCTCAAACGATCTGCTACTGAGCTACATCTTCAGCTTTACTCTTTTTAGGTTGACACAAGGTCTTGCAAAGTTACTCAAGGTGGCCTCAAACTTGCAGTCCTCCTGCCTCAGCTTTCCCAGTAGCTGGGGTTACAGAGGTGCACCACTGTGTCTGCCTTATAGTTTGGATCTTGAGCACCCCCCCCCAAAGCAGCTTTGCGTTGAAGGCTTAGACCAGGCTGTGGTACGACTGTGAGGAGGTGGACTTTTAAAGAGGTGAGACGATCTGAGGCATTCCCTGGAAGAGGCTATTGAGATCCAGCTCCTCTTTCTCCTTTCTGTTTCCCAGGGCACCATGTGATACACATTCTCCTCTGCCACAGTTCCCACCATGATGCACTGTGTTGCCAAAGGCCCAAAGCCCTGAAACTGTGATGTAAAACAAACCTTTCTTCCTTTTAAGTTGGTTGTGTCAGATATTATGTCACAGTGTTGGAAAACTGACTAACACAGGTAACCAAGTAACATTAATCAAATACACGTAAAGGTCGTAGCTTGGTGTCTGGTAAGCGGTGGGCTCTCAGAGAACGTGCTCAGTCACTGTTAGAGTCACAAGGAAGGTCCTCGAGTGCTCTGGGCTCTGCAGAAAGAGTGCCAGTACCCTCAGAATTCTGACACCAGCAAGCACACAGAAGCCCAGAGAGAGAGCAAGAGGGGAGAACCATGGGCTAAATTAGAGGTGAACGTGGGTGGGTTCTGGGGAACCACTACCCTCCTTACCAGTACGATGACATCGGCGCCCGCCTGGGTGAGCAGGTCCAGGCGGTATTTGTCATCCTCGCGGGTGCCCACGGCTGCCCCGCACAGCAGCTGCTTATGGGAGTCCTTGGAGGCCAGAGGGTAGTCTCGGTTCTTCTTTAGGTCTGTGCGGGCAATGATGGCCACCAACTCGTCGCAGTCATTGACAATTGGCAGCTTCCCTGAGCAGGAAGGCAGAGATGAGGTGATGAGGGAGGCTCGGAGGTGAGTGGGGGGATGTGTGTTGGAGAGGGGAATAAAAATAGCCGAGGCCAGAAACGCCACTGAAAATACCCAAATCAGCCACTAGGTGGCAGCACCTACCCAGGAAGTATTCCTAAGAACCTGGCCCCTGTCCTAAGGAGCAGGAAGCAAACTCCTGGTCGCAAGCAGCTTCCTAGGGCTGTTCCTGTCCTATGACCTGGCCTGGGTGGGAGGCAACGTCTGAACACTGACAGCCCTTCACCTGCTGGGCCATGGGCCAAAATGGTCAAAAACGCCTAGACAGGGCACAGAGATGAGGCCATCCTGCATAGGGAATGTGCACCTGCCCCATACACACCCCAAAGAATCTCTACCATGGGTGGGGAAGCAACAGCCCACAGGATCGAGTGAGCATGGTGTGGTAAACTCTAATATCCAGATTTAACTGCGGGACTTTCAGGGCATTTAACCACTAACAGTTTACCCTGAGCATCACTTGGGCAGCATCAGTGCATCTGTTTACACGCTGACTCTTGGGCAGGTGTCTTTTTGGCTTCGTCAGCTCTGGTACTGAATAAATTTGATAAAATTGTCATTTTATATTTCCTGCTAAATTAGCTTATAAAATTAACAAGAACACTATGCAATTTTTGGTCATCTGTATTATTATTAATTATAAATTAACTGTTAAATAACCCAACTGATAATTACTAAGCCAAAGTGCTACTGCAAAATGTGTGAGTATAGGAAGCAACATTTCTCTAGCTTTTAAAACCAAAGAACCTTTTGGTGCTTGGGACACAGGGCCTTTGCACTAAGCTACATCTCTAGCACTTTTTAAAAAATTTTGTTTTTGTTTTGAGTCTCAGCCTTCCACAGAAGTTTTAATGCCGTTGTTATTGTTGGGTTTTGTTTTTTTGAGATAGGGTCTTACCATGACGTGCAGGCTGGCCTAAACTTCCTGAGTGTTGGGATTCTAGGCACAAACCCTCACACGCACCACCACACCCACTCACAGGTCCTTTTTATGTGGCAAGCACCTCACAGGACCAATTTTGAGAAACATGCATTGTGGGGATGCTGAATTAAGACAGAAGTTCCCCTAAGACAGGAGAAGGACATTGAAAATCATGCCCTGGCCTGCCTGGGGTTATTCAAACCTTCCTGAAGGCCCAGGGAGGGGCAACTTGAGGGGCCCTGAAGGAATAGAGGGGCCAAGGATATCAGGAGTTAGGCTGGGGGTTTAAATGCTCTGCCTGCTCCCTAGTACCTTTCTTGCTGCGCTGTAAGATCTCGTTTGCCTCTTTCAACGTCACACCTGCAGGAGCCACCACCAGTTCCATCCGGGGCGTCATCACCTGTAGGGCCAGGAACATTTGCCTGCAGGTTGGCAGGTGAAAGAGGAGCCAGGCCTCCCTCTGGTCCCCAGTCTCAAGCACCAACCTGGAGTCCCAGGGTGTGGGGACCTCTCTGCACCCCAGCCCCACCTGCCCTGCCCTGCAGGCACCTCACTGAGGAGTGTGGTATGGTCCTTCTCAGCAAGGAAGTCAATGTCTCGGGAAGTGACAATGCCCACCAGCTTGCTGCCCATAGTGCCCGTCTCTGTGATGGGGATGCCAGAGAAGCCGTGCCGCATCTTGGCCTCCAGCACATCGCCCACAGTGTGCGAGGGGCTCAGCACCACAGGGTCTGTGATGAAGCCCTGCTCAAACTTCTGCAGACAGAAGGGGGAAGAAAAGTCTGGAAGGAAGCCAGAGCTCTCAGTGGGGTGAGGGGCCAGTGGGAAAATGTGGGCTCAGCCCTGTGCTCCCACGGTGAGGACAAGTAGCCAGAATCCCACAACAACCAGCCATCGGTACAGCAGCCTGAAGAATACCAAGGGAGGTGGGAGATCTGGCAAGGCGGGGCTCGCTAGGTGGCATCTTTCTGGGAACAAGCGTGTTACTTGCCTTGACCTTCCGTACTTCATTGGCCTGGAACTCTGGGGTACAGTTGTGATGAATGAAACCAATTCCTCCCATCAGCTGGGGCAGAAGGGAAATGTGGTTAGAGCCAGGGGCCAACCTCCTCAGCCCTGTCCTTCTGCACAGTCCACCCTGTTCAGACCTCTCTGCAGTGGGGCTCCTGCTCCAGTGAGCATAATGAGACTCACAGCCATTGCGATGGCCATGTCAGCTTCTGTCACAGTGTCCATGGGAGAGGAGATCAGCGGTGTCTTCAGCGTGATCTTTCGGGTCAAGGCTGACATCAGGTCCTGAGGACAGAGGCAGAGTCTATTAAAGGGGTTTTTTGGCAACCAGACTAACATCCGCCAGCGCCTCCTAGCTGTATCCTGCACCAGGGACAGGGAGACCCTCGATGGCCAGGCAGGGGTCTTTTTAAGTACCTCTCTTCCTAGCAGCCAGTCCTGATTCTGGTACAAGCCAAGGTGCTCAGTAAACTTTACTAAACTTAACAGCTGGACCAAGAAGGCTTCCTGGTTATGGGCATATGGAAAATATACAGAATAGCCCAGATTTACCCCTAAAATGTCTGTCTGGGTCAGCTCTGGCTACACACAGGCCCTGGGGACAGGCAGTGGCAAGGCAGCTCTCGTGGAGCTGATCTTCCACTTGGATAGAAAGATGATAAGCATGAGACACACAGAAAAGACAATTTCAGCCACAAAGGAAAACAGCGAGGCCGAGTGATCACTGGGAACATGTGCTGGGATCCTATATGATGAAGGCTGAGGCAGGGGAGGTACAGAGAGGTGTCTCTTAGCAATCCAGAAAAGTGAGTGCCTAAGGGGCTAGCGCTCTAGAGAGGAGTCAGGATTGCAAAAACAGGTGAGCGTCCCTACTCTAAAGATCCAAAATGCAAAATGTCCAAAATGCTCCAAAGTCCTAAACTGTTTGAGCTCCAACATGACACCACAAGTGGAAAATGCTACACCAGACCTCATGTGACAAGGTAGTCAAAATAGACACTGTAAAAAATATCGTTTGAAAGTACCATTAGGCTATGTAAGGTTTATACAAAATATAAATGAATCTCTGGTTTCCACTTGGATTCCACCCCTAAGATATCTTATGTAGGTATATGCCAATATTCTAAAATCTGAAAATAATGTGACATCCTAAACACTTCTAGTCCTGACTGTTTTAGATAAAGGACACTCAACCTGTATATGATTGTGAATCATGTCTATGAATGATATTCTAGGAAAGGCCAAATCAGACCCCTCTGAGAGTCATATGAGATTGGGCGCATTCAGGGTGACCACAGACCCCTCTGAAATTCAGGTCAACAGCTGCCCATCCTAGTCCCTAAGCTCTGCAGACACCGACTTTGGTATGTCATTTTTGAGATTCAGAAGCCCCTAAAGTCATTCACGGACCCTGGACCAGAACCCTGACCCCCCAGCCTAGAAAAGGCTGCCACCTTCTCTCCCACCATACCAGAGAAAAGCCCCAGCCTTCCTGACAGAGACCACAGGAAAGCAAGATGTTCAGTAACCAGGTAGTCACTCCAGGCTCTGGTACAAAGCCAAGGCGTGTATTTTAAGTAAACTCTGTTAAACTGAACAGCTTCACTGAGAAGTCTTCCTGGTTGCTGTCATAAGGGAAATAAATATATAGAATAGTCAAAATTCCCCCTCTATGATCTTTCTGGGTCAGCTCTGGGTACACACAGGCTATGACATGAGTTTCTCCAGCATATAAATAACCTGAGCTTGCTCAGGCTTTTTGGCCTTCCATGAGAATCAGACCAGAATAAACAGTGATAATAACAGCAACAGGTAAGAGGTTTATTTTTCTGGCTGGGTGTGATGGCACATGCATACAATCCCAGCAGTCAGGAAACTAAGGCAGAAGGATCACTGTGAGTTCAAGGCCAGCCTGAACTACATAGCAAGACCTTGTCTCAAAAACCTAAAACTAACCAAACAAAACAAAATAAAGAAATAAATTTTTAATGTGCATGACTACCTCATAGAATCATGAAACTTTTTCATAAATGGATTTATACCATCCCAACACCCCTTTGGTTTTCACAAGAATACAACAGTATACAATTAGTATATAATAAGTATATTAATTGTTCATCCATTTGGTTCATTGCTGAGCATCTTGTGGAAAGCAAGGCACAATGTTTCCTTGTATTTGTTCAAAATCCTACTTCTTCTAACCCTCTTACCAATTATGTCCATTGCCGAGGTCAGAGACCAATCACTGACCACCATATTCAAAGTGGCCATAATTCTACAAGCTCCCATCCTGTCCTTGCTCAGCATTTCAGACCGCATCTAATCCTTATGGTCCATATAATAAAGCAGCCACATCCAAGCCCTCCTAGCCCAGAGTCTTTTCTGAACCCTCTCCCGGCTTCATCAGTGACACAATGTCCACCCACCTCAGGCCAGACCCCCACCCAGGACCCCCCAGTACCCCTCACCCCACCCAGCTGCCTCTGCCCTTTGCCTTCTGTCAGTTCCTCTGGCAAAAATAAAGATCATACCCACCACATTCCCGAGAAAGATCTCTCCCATACCCTGCCCTGGAGTGAGAGTCAGCCTCGCCCCATGCCTAGCCCCTCTAGAGACAAAAGCAGAAGTACTCACCACCTCATCGGCTATGAAGTCTATGAATCCCGGGAGGATCAAGAAGTCGCTGTGAAGACAGAAAGTGAGTGCTCCTGGTGGGCAGGGGTGCCTGGAAGGGGCGAGTCTGCCATGCAAGGGGAGGAGCATGGGGCTGGAGAGAGGCACAGCCTGGACAAACTCTCCTCATTCCCTTCACGGGTGTCTTGCTGACTCCAGTCCCGAGAACTAGAGGCAAAGATGGCAGGAGGGCGGTGTACCTGGTACCACCAAGGTGGTCAGCTCAAAACCTTCATTGTCCTCGGGGCCGAGGGTTTTCAAGGGACAGAGAAGTTCCCATGTGGCCACACTCAACAGACAGCTGCCTGTTTGAACACCTACTTCTCAGTCTTCATTGGGTCAGACAACAAGTGAACCCAGAAAGCACAGTACCTGAGAACTATTTTGCAGTGCAATAAGGCATGACCATGACCCAGCACAGGACAAGCTGCACACCCCACTCAAAGTGTGCTGAGTCACACAGTTTCAAAGCAGCATGGAGGGACCCCAGGGGCCTGTGTGCAGGGCAAGTTCTGACAGCACAGGAACTGACAAAGGGCAACCAACACACATGGTCCAGGATAGAAAGGAAAGCAAGGAGGCATCATGGTTGGGACCAGCCAAAGCATGGCAGCTGTCCACACTATAGGGGCCATGGTCACACTGAAGCCCAAAAGCGGAGGCCAGGGTTGCATGGGTGGCTCTGGATGCAGTGCTACAGCCCAAAGGCCCCCACAGGTGCAACCTGCCTGAAATCACAGCAGGCTGACAGACACACCCCAAAAGCAAATGCCACACACTCCGGGAAAACTCTGAACCCAGCTAAGCAAAACAGCATGTACCTCCAGTGAAGGAAGAAAAAGCCAGAGTGGGGTGGTTAATTTGCCCCAAGGCCTAGAACAATTTCCAAGAGCTCCTGTGGAAGATGCCAATGAAAAATATACCAAGGATCTGCTCCTTCCCCCATCACCAAAGAATTCAGCTGCCCCCACCCCTTGGCAGCCCTTCTGTATGGCAGGGAGGCCTCTGTGGCTCACTTAGAGGCCCGAGAAGAAACGCTCTTCTTGGCATTCTCTGGGTATTAAACATACCCCTCACCCAGGGCAAGTAAGAGCGGACCCTCCCCAGCGGTGACACAGGATCCTGGCGTGTAGGGAAACTGATTGCCAAGCAGGAACGCTCATGAGCCGGGGAGGAGAGGTAGGAGAGGCCAGTGCTGCTGTTAGCTGGCCAGCACGCCCACTCTGCCCCATCCCGGGTTCAAATGCTCCTTCTCGGCAGGGGGATAGTCTTGCAGCCAGGAGGTACAGCTAGTGCCAGGCCTGCAGCAGGCAGGACAACTGGCCCAGGGCCCACAGAAAAGGCAAACTGAGCCAGAGGCAGATGGGTAGGTCTCCATCCTTCTCCAAAATCCCACACTGGGTGGGCTTATGGGTGGTGGTCAAAGAATGCTCACGCTGGAGGGCTGAGGGGCACCAGTGCCAACCTGTGGGCAGGAGGGCCACGAGTAGAGGGAAGCCCGGACTGCATGGCGGGGAGAGGGTCATCCCACGCCCCACAGGGCCTCTCCTGGGGACGACACTCAAGCAGCTGCCCAAGCTGGGCCCCAGGACCTCCTCTGCTCTCCCAGCTTATCTGAGGGGGAAACAGCTGAAAGTCTAGTCTCCCCAGAACTCCCGCACCTGGCTTCCCCTGCTGCCCCCAGGGCCACTCGGGTGGCCAATATGCCCCAAGAGGAGGAAGGGGGCAGGCTAAATACAGATCCGGCCAGCGACAAGTCCAGGCACCGCGGCCCGCGATGTCGCTGTGCCACGTCCGTCTGCTCTCACGCGGGCCTCCTTCCTTCCCTTGCCCAGCCCCCACCAGCTCCAAGTCACTCTTATTGGACCGGGGTCCAGGGGCGTCAGCGGCTGGCAGCCGCGCACGTGCAGGGCCAGGCCGGACCGCTGTGCAGGGATGCGCGCAGCCAGGTGGGGCCGAGTCCAGCGCTTACTTGTAGGTGAGGCCGTCG